GGGTATTTCGTAATTGTTTCCAGATACCGGAAATTGTACGAGACTGCACTGCCAGCAAAATTTACGTGTCTATGCTGGCTGGGTTACTTTGCGTTTCCACGGTCAAAAATTGCTTTCAATTTGCTCACACGTAAGAGTTGTCACAAGTATGAGTTTTCTCCCTTCCCAAAGCCATGATCGATCAGCTGTTGAAATTTAACGAAAAATTGCCTATCTTGAGAGAAAGATTTCAACTTTTACTGCTAATTGGAGTAGCTAAAAAATTCGTGCTGTTAAGAAATTTCGTTTTAATGATGGAAAAATATTTGGTAGTTTGGATACTGATTTGGTAGGTATTTTGGCACATAAAAATATTGCCAAGTGGCAACACTGTTCCGAAGTTTTATAAAGAGTGAAATACACTACACAAGCGACTTGTCAAACATACTTCAAACCTAATTTTCCCATATCGCTATACACCATGCAAACATGACTCGTTCAAGCAAAGAATTTTAGTTTTATTCCGGTTCACAATATAAAAGGGCTTGGTTTTCTCTTGCGTCCTCATTCGGTAAAAATTCCGTTGCAAGTGAGGCGTTTTTATCAATAACAACGGAAGCGGTTTGATCAAATGTCAACATGGTGGCCAGAAAATCAAAAAATTTCGATTTTTGTTGACATTTCCCTCAAACGGCTTGTCAAACCTTCAAACACCCCCATACACAACATAAATGGCTTAAAGCAAAGGGATATTTCGCTTGGTTTGTCAAGCCGCTTGTGTGGTGTGTTTCGCTCTTAAGCACATCCGCATTTCCTGCTAAATATTCAAAATGTTATCGATAATTTTTTTCATTCCATCGTTATCTTTTCAACTTATGTATTTTGAACTTGCAAAATCTCCGTAACGAATGGAGAGAACACGCATTGTTCGATCATAAGGATATTCATATTGATTCATCATTAGATCCAGAAAATTATAGGAAAACAGATTTTGAATTAAAAGATTCTTCAGGTTCATATAAGTTTCCCAATTAAAAAAAAAAAAATATATATCTGATTTGCTAATATAGCCCTTTTCTAATGCTTCAGTTGAACGTATGTTTAGTAGTTTAAAAATGTGTAGAGCTGACTTGAGGACCAGATTGAGCACTGATATAGTTGCAGCAATATTATATACACACCAAGGCAAAAAAAACAACGGTGATACTTTGTTTGAACCCAATTGAATTGGGGAATGTAATTAATTTTTATACTGAGTACCTGTAAATAGTATGCAGTACACAATACTCATATCTGTAATAAGAAAATTTTGAGTAATTTGTTCGGATTTTGAGGATTTTTCATTTGGTTTTGAGGAATTTGGTAATTTTTTTGTGGCAACACTGTTCGGAATCGAATTCCTAAAATAATACACGAATATAATGATATTATTGTAAGACAATACTTTTAAAATAAAAAATATGAATAAATTGGAAATTACTAACTTTTTAATTGCATCGAGATATTGCATTGCGGCATATTAGTAGAATGTTCTGCACACACGGGTTTTTTGCACAATATGCAGGTTTGCCTTGTTGGGCGGATATAGAAAATTACGTGTCACGTTCTTCCTTGCCTCCTAAATACCAACATCCATTGTCCTCAAAGGACCGCCGTTTATTGCTTCATTGATGCTGCGTGTAGAGAATATTCTAGTTCTTCGACTATTAGTAGCTCTCACTTCTATTTCAGATTCCGCCAGTTGCTCACTAAGTTGATAAAGGAACATCCTAGTCGGATTTCAAAGGTCTTCTGGGGTGGGCGATTCTCGACGTAAATTATGTACGTACTAAGGACAGCTACATCCATAACATTATAAGAAAGTGCCAAAGGCCGTTTGGTTGAATATTTTGCAAGGCAGTTATCTATGTTATCAACGCCACATTTGCTTTGGTTGTAATCTAATATCAATAGTGGCTTCTTCTTAAGACCTTTTACTTCGGTTGTCTAATGCATTCTTGAAAAGACCACAACTGATTTATTATTCTTTGGCACGTACTGGTCCATATTTTCAGACCTGAGTATGTTGTGGGTTCGGAATCATGCAGTTGTGGTGTGGTTCTTCTGGATCAAGTGCACTAAGTTGTCGTGGAGTGAGCCATTCACCATTTGCCATTTTTACTTTTATAAATTTTATTTCGTTGCGTAACACTTGGTTATAAAAACATTATATCTCTTCAGCCTCCAAGTTCGCACTACACGTATTCAAGTAAATATTAGATCTTAAGTTCTTTACTGCCTACAAGTTCTTCAGGTTGGTACAAGTTTTGTACTACCTGATGTAACAAGAAACATCCCATCACATTGTTTGCGTCTACCTGCAAAAGCCCTTTTGCAATAACCATACAAGTTTTGTACCTAAACAGTCCTTTATGTATACATTCAAAACCAACGATCATAGAGTGTGTTCTAAGAAAATCATTATTTGTACAGTGAAATATCATATTTCTCAAATATTTCTTCACATATTTAAAATAAACATATTTCTTCAGAAAATAACAGTAAAAACTTATCCGGTTTAAAAGAAATGTGTTATATATTCACATTTTCGTCACAACACATGCTGCTGTTGACGTACGTATAATTTTTCTGCTGCTGACATAAAGGTTAAGGAAATTTCACTCAAGAAAATTAAAATTTCTTAAAGTGAAAGTACATACCATCCATTGCGATAGCGTCACCGCCACCGTCAACATCACCATCAACGATACTTATGCGTCAAGTTACACACAATTCGTTTAACATTGCTCCCGAAAAATCATTAACTCGCTGATACTCTTTGCAAAATTTGCATTTTACTTTTTCACTTCTTCTATTAGGTTTTCCTACATTATTTTTTAAACTTCCTATTTCCATAAATATTAAAAATTTTCACAAACTGGAAAAATTTGCGTTCAAACATGTAAACAAAACACTGAATAGTTGTCATTTGACGCAATCGAATAAGCAAAATTGAGAGTTGAGCTAATTTGTGCGGCACCGGCACCGTCAGCTTGTTCATGTAACTTACTTCATACAAATACAGCGAACCAGTTTTTTTGAGAACTGTCAGTGACGGCGACGGCGACGCAATGCACGTTATGTACTTTCGCTTTTAGCCATTTCTTGTACGCCATTTTATATGGAGTTTTTGCTTTTCTTGAGAGCTGCATACTGGCCATATACTTGCTTTTACAAACGAACAAATATTACATTACATACATATGTACATACCATGTCTGTGAAGTTGGCATACGGTATGACGCAAACGAAAAAAGAAAAGTTGTTCTGAGTAGCCTTCCAATAGTTCTAGAGTTCATGAAAAGGAAAAAAAAGTTCTGGACATTTTGACAAAAAATAATTGATTTGAAAAGTGTGTTTGCTTCCATTCGCTCTTTAAAGAATTCACAAAATATACTCTCAGGGGATTTCTATTTTTCTGGCGATCTATAAACTGCCACTAGTATCAAAGTTACATTTTTCTGCTTAACCTTTATCACGAGCCACCAAATCATTTTTCCCACAGCGATTGAATTCATTACTTCCATATTCCATTCGTGGTTGATATAAAAAAGCACGCCTCCAGTGTGATTGGAGATACTGTCACATCTTACTATTTTATAGTCACCTAAGCTTATTTAACCATTATTTACTGCGTCTGTTAAATGAGATTCTGATTTTCATATTCAAATTTTGTTTCGAAAATTATAGTTTCTAGTTGATTTACATTTGTTCGGAGTTCATTCCCGGAATGTGTGTCCCGAGTCTCCGCATTTGGCACATATCTGGTTGTTTCCTTTGCATACTGCGGCTTTGTGATTGTACCCGCAGCACTTATAGCAACTCGGTACATTACAACATTCATATACTGTACATCTGTCCCATTCGACATTCAACTTATTTGCGGACATTACACTTTTAAAGCCATCTCCATCGATTTCAACTATTGCGTTATATACTTTTGGGCTTTTAAATGACTTAAATACTTTCACACATTTTACTTCACTGGCCTCTAAATTGTTTTGGTTTTTTATGGTTTGAGCCACCAACTCATTATCAATATTTTCACTCAACCCGCTTATTAATATCTTTGGTTTTCTCATTTTCGGCAGGTGGATATCGTACTTATCAATCACTTTTTCTTTGATATCATTAACCAGTATTTTTCTCGCATCATTACTCCCGCAGTTAATTGCTACCGCTCCATTTTGCCTATTCGCAATTCCGTTTACACACACTTTCAGCTCAGAGGGCTTGATTATTGTTTTTACATCACTTTTTGTTACTTCACTCTCTTGAGTTTTTTTTTGGCCTCAGTATAACCGGGACATTACCAGCAGTTGACTTTTTCACTTGATCCGCATACGTTGATTTCTGAGTTTGGCTCTCTCTGTTTCTATTTTGGTCCGCTATGTCCACTTTAATTTGTTTTACCGCTTCTGTTACAATTGCTATTTTTTCACCAACGATATTTTCTAATTTATTTTCGTTTTGTTTTATTAAATCAAAAAACTTTTCATAGCTATTGTTCGCCGATTTAATGCAATCGGTGCATGAGTCACAAAAAAAATTAAGGTTCGCAAACCTCAACAGTGCATCTGTCTCATACTTCCAAAAGCCAATACACTTCGTCCCCTTAGTATTAAAATAGCCTATAAATTTTTTGATGTTTTGAGAAAATGAATTTCAAACTTTTTGTCGAAAGTAGCTCTTACTCAAATCAACTGTATAAAACTGAGTCTCTTTTGTTAACTGACCAATTTGTATTATTATAATCATCCTTTTAATGAACAAAAAAGAGGTGTAAACTGCAGATACATCAGATAGGCTATTTTATTTTTTAATGTTTTCTATCAAGTTTCTGATACGTTCTTTTATTTTGTATGGTATACACTATTTTATTCAAGAAATACACCAGAATAATAAGTAAATTTAATATGAATTTTTATTACTATAAAATTATGTTTTAATTACAGTCAGATCGTAAATTATTAGCATGGTCTTTATTTATTGTCGTCTTCGTCCTCTTCTTCGAATCTGTCTGGTTCATCTAAACAATCGCGATTATTCCCTCCTTGTAAATTCAAAAAAAATGTCTGTGAGCCGGGAGGAATTACATTTTTTTTGCATAAATCTTTGAGATCCTTCAATTTTGTGTCAGAAATTGGTAGTTCTTTTTTATATTTGTGAGTTAATGTAAAATTTGTGACTCCTTTCTTTTTCATTCTCGAGCCATCTATATCAATCACTTTGAAGTCTTCGTTCCATTGTTCCTTGTATAACAATTGTCTCTTTTCACTTTTTATTACTTGGAGAACCTTGATTTTAAGCCAATTTACCGATTCATTATTGACATTTTTCTTCAAGTTATGGTTNGAGAACCTTGATTTTAAGCCAATTTACCGATTCATTGTTGACATTTTTCTTCAAGTTATGGTTCAATTTTGAGAACGCCGTTTTGAGATCAATAATATCACTGTAGTTAAGCCTTTCTACAGCGTACGGATTTTTTCGTCTTGCCAGTCTAAGTATAGTTGGCCATTCTTCTGGTGAATATACACAAATATTTCTCTTAGCTCGTTCTATAGCCGAATGCATGGAATCTGCTTCCATTTGTGTGTGTCCACTTTGAAGATATTTAATCGTTATTGAATTGAAATGCAATGAATGATTCATATGAAGCAATAATATGGCAATTAATCTGTTTCTATTCTGTCCTCCACAGCAGTCTGAATACAGAATAACATCCGTTACTGATTCGGGTAAATTGTTCAGCATTTTTAATAAAGTGGTTCCAATTTCCTCTGACCCACGGTGACCATGGTTTTCATCCCACAGGAAACAATATCCAGCTCCACTAGCTAAATCGTAAAATGTGTTGTTGTATGTGGCGAACTTTCGACTGTAATACAAGGTGCTTACATTGCTACATGGTGTCAATAGCACTGATTGTAAGTCAAAAGTAAATACTTTTATATTGCTGTTATTTTTAGATAACTCCTTGTCAGCATCTTTGTGGAGTCTTGCCTGGGCTTTATTTGCTAAGTGTTCATCATATGATTTCTGTATTGAAGCCTTGTCCTCTGTATTTTTGAACATTTCGCATGTTGAGCATGTGTCCTTTTTTGGATGATGGAATGAATAATTGTAATTATTACAAAATATGTGGCGATACATATGTTCTTTA